AGGCAAAAGGGGGTCCAACCCGTTACTAGCATGGGGTACCTAATAAAGTGGCCGGTGAGTGTAGCTCTGCACTGAAGTCAGCAAAGAAAGATAGAGTTGGATCGGACCAGAATGCGATGGAGCTCTGGCTTTCTGGAGTGAACCTTACTTTTCTCTTCGCCTTCTTGGATAAATGTGTGTGCATTTCCTAGTTTGGGGGTTTACTGTAGGGTTACAGTAGAGCTAGTGCCTTTCTCCAGCAGTCTCTGGGCAAATGGAGCAGTAGAACCTGGACAATTCAGCAAAAAAAAAAAAAAAATCTGAAAAGTCGTTTAAACATTTCCTTAATGGTTAAGAATCTGCAGGTAATCCTTGAGGCACATTTTAAAGCTTTTATGATAAAGGTTGAGGTCCTAACCTTGCCAGATGGCCGAGCATTAACCAGTTTTTTATAACCTGTGATTGTGATTGCAGGGCATGCTGGGACATATAGTTTTAGTCTTTTTATATATAGTTGAATCAACACAAAGATGATTAAAGTGAAGTGCCCTTGATTTAACCTGCAATAGAAAGTCTTTCTGCTGTGTTTGTCTTTCCAGAGTGCCTGCAGGATTATGTTGGGAAAGAGGAGGATTTTTCCGACCAGCAGCTGTATCAACAGGAGAGGAATTCCAGTTTGGTCAAAGAGGAACCAGAAGCTCTGCAGATAAAAGAAGAGAATCAGAAGCCAGAACATCCCTGGACAAAAGAGGAAACCATGGAGCTCCCCATAGGTGAGCAGGAAGAGCAGCTTGTTCTGAGGCAAGAGATTGAAGATACAGGAGAGAAACCTTTCCCATGTTTGACATGTGGAGAAACCTTTCTGAAAAAAGAACATTTGATGGTTCATATGAGAAGTCACACAGGTAAGAAGATTTATGAATGTCTGTCCTGTGGAAAAACATTTCCTTAATGGTTAAGAATTCTGCAGGTAATTTTTTTGAGGTACATTTTAAAGCTTTAACGATAAAGGTTGAGGTCCTAACCTTGCCAGATGGCAGAGCAATGACCAGAATTTGTAACCTGTGATTGTGGTGTAAGAGCTGCAGGGCATGCTGGGAGATATAGTTTCAGTCTCTTTGTACAGTATGTAGTTGGATCAACAAAAGGATGATTAAAGTTAAGTGCCCTTTCTTTAACCTTCAATAGAAAGTCTTTCTGTTGTTTGTCTTTCCAGAACGCCTGCAGGATTATGTTGGGAAAGAGGAGGATTTCTCTGACCAGCAGCTCTATGAAAAAAAGAGGAAATCCAGTTTGGACCAAGAGGAACCAGAAGCTCTGCAGATAAAAGAAGAGCAGAAAGAACCAGAACATCCCTGGACAAAAGAGGAAACTGTGGAGGTCCCCATTAGTGAGCATGAAGAGCAGCTTGTTCTGAAGCACGAGACTGAAGACACAGGAGAGAATTATTTCCCATGTTTAAAATGTGGAGAAAACTTTCTGAAAAAAGAACATTTAATGGTTCATATGAGAACTCACACAGGTCAGAAGATTTATGAATGTCTTTCCTGTGGAAAAATGTTCAGAAAGAAATCTAGTCTTGATAAACACATCAGAATTCACACAGGTGAGAAGCCTTTTTCTTGTATTGTTTGTAACAAGAATTTTACTGAAAAAAGTAATTTAACTACTCATATGAGAATTCACACAGGTGAGAAGCCTTTTGAATGTCTGTTCTGTGGAAAAAGCTTCACTCAGAAATATAATCTTGATACACACAGCAGAATTCATTCAGGTGAGAAACCATTTTCCTGTACGATTTGTAACAAGAAATTTACCGAAAAAATTAGTTTGACTTCTCACATGAGAATTCACACTGGTGAAAAGCCTTTTTCATGTACGATTTGTAACAAGAATTTTTCTGTAAAAACTCATTTGACTTATCACATGAGAATTCACACAGGTGAAAAGCCTTTTGAGTGTCTATCCTGTGGAAAAAGCTTCACTCAGAAGTATTATCTTGATACACACACCAGAATTCATTCAGGTGAGAAGCCTTTTTCCTGTACTATCTGTAACAAGAATTTTACTGACAAAAGTAGTTTGACTAAACACATCAGAATTCACACTGGGGAGAAGCCTTTTTCCTGTACCATTTGTAACACAAATTTCACTGAAAAGGGTAGTTTGACTACTCACATGAGAATTCACAATGGTGAGAAGCCTTTTTCTTGTACGATTTGTAACAAGAATTTTACTGAAAAAGGTAGTTTGACTTCTCACATGCGAATACACACTGGTGAGAAACCTTTTTCTTGTACGATTTGTAACAAGAATTTTACTGTAAAAAGTAGTTTGATTTCTCACATGAGAATTCACACTGGTGAGAAACCTTTTTCCTGTACCATTTGTAACAAGAATTTTACTCAAATAGGTCATTTGACTAGACACATGAGAAGTCATGCAGGTGATAAGCTGTTCTCCTGAAATATTTTTTTAACAAAGGTTTTAAATGAGAAGGTAATTTGACTATTCAGATAACATTTATTCATGCAGGATCTGGAATGATTTTTATATATATATATATATATATATATATATATATATAAACATTTCTTCCACATAAGTCACGGCAGTTAAATGCCACAGGAATGAACAGTATACGCTTTTTCCATGTTTGACTGGTGATAAAATGTCCATCTATACACTGCTTCACCTCATTACATGAGAAACTCACAGCTTATTGGTATTTTTTGAGCTAAGTTTTGAGAAAGCCAATAATTAACAGCTCTGTTTACATAGAAACTAGAACAGATGAGGTTTTATATTGTAAACCTGGTAAATACTCACATCCTGGTCAAATATGTGGATGTGAATTAGGGTTGTCAAAAGTATCGATACTCAAAAAAGTATTGATACTGAAACGTTGTATCCGGATACAATACTTATTTTCAAAAGTATCGATACAGTGCTACCACTAGTGGCACCTACATAGTCATTCATCTAAAGTGCAGAATAGAGGACAATGCACTTTCTGAACAATGTGTGATTGAATAATTCTGTGCACTTTTTAGCTTCAGACTTTTTCTGTAAGAGATGCAGCTGCTGAGAATGATTTTTGTTTCTTAACTGGTTATGCTAGTGTCATTGCTATGTGTGCAAAGCATAGCCAAGTAAGAAAATTTTTAATTTTGTAAGTTTTTTATCAAGCTTTCTTAATACTGTGCAACGCAAACAACCTCAAAATATTGTCCTTATTGTTTATTGTATTTTGATTATTAATCAAAATATTTCTGTTGAAATTTGGAGTTTTTATCCTTGTGGTATCGAAAATGGTATCGAGTATCGAATATTTTCCTTA